TCATTTTAACTGAAACAGGAAGACAGGCAGCCCCCTTTTTTTAAAAATAGCCAATAGCGTTCGTTTATATCATAGCTTGGGCAAGAGCCGTTCAGCTCCGTAAAGCCGCATTTGACAGGGTATGCCAGTCACAATCTCATCCATATTGCTATAAAATATAGCATTCTGTGTAGAATTCAAATAGCTCCGATACATTTTGTGGTCTGCGCCGACTCGCGCATGTGATCCGCTCCGTGCTATCGTGTCTCTGGACCGGAGCAGAGTGTGTGTGTGGTGCGGTGTTTAGCGTGACACAGCGCGAAACCAGACTTCTTTTTTTCCTCAATGGAAAGCATATGTACACTGTTTGAATTGTCCCCTATATAGTGCACTACGTGCCATTCACTGTACAGAAAATACTAATTCTGTGGACAAGTGACCGATTTCAGCCGCGGCTTCAGCGTCTATTTTATAGTGTAGGGGGCGGGCGCTTCGGATTCTAGAGAGCATTTGATTGGACAGAAAGTTTGATGAGAAGCTGAAGTATGATGTGACGTCAAGAAAATCATTGAGCCGTTTTGGCGGAAGTGATGAACTGCAAGCTTTGAATGCTTATATCTTCTAAATGCGAATTTTGTCACTGTTTTGGAGCACACTGCCTTATAGATAAGCTTAAGACTAACATATTGATACTAACACCCAAAAAAACTTTAATTTTGATTTCATGGGGACTTTAATTACATTTCATCCAGCCAAACATTGCACTTCCTTTGCTGAGTGATAAATACTGTCTGATAGAAGACATGTATTGATTTTATTTGCTCACTGGTGTGGGTTAATTTTTTTAATTCACATCTGTTTTTATGTATTATGTTTTGAGAATAATCACACAATAGGCCATTAACGATAATGAAGTCATAACATTTGAGAGAAAAGTAGTAATATTTTTGTATACCACTTATAAAAGGCTTATTATGAGTTTATATTTAAAACATTATGACTGCATTCTCAAAATTTGTTTAATAACACACTGCAAAATAGTATGGTACTCTGCTATTCTTAACGCAACCAAAGCAGGAGCACCCCAGCCACCATGAGTCTTTAGGATTTGATTTAACATGAGCTCCAACGTCTTGACTTCAAATGACTGTGGCAGGATGAAGGAAACGTTCACGCTTAATTTAGTGAAATCACATTTGATTATCCAGACAGTTAAGTGCTCATCTTACAGAGAGTCATTCCTCTATGAGCAGTATTCCCTGGCTGAGATGACTGAACTTCTGAAGCAGAAGAGAGTTATGCAAGAGTGTCAGAATTTTAATATTGTTCAAAGAACACATGCAACTCATATAAAAGTGTATAATGTTGACATTTACTGTATATGCATAAGAAGTTTTATAATTGGTCACATTAGAGTTTGGAGGTCTCCGCTGTGTTATCCTCTATAGTCCCAGCGGTGCCCGAGTCACTCAGGGTCTGTGGGGTTATTGTTAAATCCTTTGCTCTCAAAAAGTCTTTGCACGTGTCTGTGGCTTTGTATTTAAACAAGGATATTAACCTTGCGAAACCTTTGTCTAGGACTCTATTACAAAACGTAATCCTAAATGTTACTCCTTTCCTTTTTTGACCTACTCTCAACCATCCATTCATGGAGTGGTTACAGTTTTTGTTTTTGGGCATGGCATCATAGTAATAGCATGTTAATACAATGATATCCTTTTAAATACCTTGGAGCACTATGTTATAATTATTACCGTGGCATCAAAATATTTGCTATGTACAAATAGATACAAATAGATATACCAATACTGTACTATGGTACTTTTTTAAGGCAACACTTTCAAAGTGTATCTAGCCTACACTGCAAGTTGAAAAGTTGACAGCAGTTTTGCTGTACATAAGGTATTTTTTGCAGAGTGCTGATCTATTTATGTGAAAGGAAAAATGGCGTGACATTTAACATTTTATTTCTCTCCTTAATCTCTTGCTTTTTCCCTTTCTTCACCTTGTGTGTCTTTCCTCCTCTCAAATCCTCATGGATCTCTTATTTTCATAGAGTTCTCTCACTCTCTTATTTTGTTCTCTTGGTTTCTTTTGTCATTTTCTGTCTCTTTGCTGAACTCTTCATACATTCACTTTATTGGTTGAATTTGAATGACCTTTAGAGGATGTCTAAAATAGATTTGAAGTATTTTTCTCTAATTATTTGGTGGTGTTCACATTTTAAGGAATAATTCACACAAAAATGAAAATCATATGTTGCTTCATACACATATGAATTACTTTCTTCTGTGGAACACAGAGTGAATTTTTAGAATATTCTTAAATAATGGCCAGTATTATGAAATTAAATGAAGTTATCATAGTGATATATACATCTTGTGCACTATATTCCAAGTCTTTGAAAACTAATCCTTCTCCATCTTTTCGTTGAGTCCTTTAAACAAAATATTCTCCAAACCTTCTTCTTTTATGTTCCATGGAGGAATGTAATGTCATACAGGTTTGGACAAACATGAGTGTGAGTAAGTGATGACAGTAATAGGTTAACTATTCCTTTAAAAAGAAAGTAACCCCTTGTTTCAATCTGACCTCTCCACAAATAATTTCCTCTTTCGATTTCTTGAATTGTTTTGAGTTTGTTCTTAAGTTTCATGTTTTGTTCTTGGGATTTGTAACATTTTAATGTGAATTGATTATTATGCTCAATTTGTCAGTAGAATCATGTGCCTTTTGAACAGGGTGAACATTTCTAGCTGACTAAGGAGGTACATTTTCAGTTTGCTGTACTTCGCATTAAAATGTGCTGTGTGAGTTTGTTTTAAAAGATTCTAGAACTGAAGAACTCTTTTCTGGACATCATTTCAGTCTCTATCACTTTTGTTTCTTCAGGTGACCCCCTCCTCTAAGATTGTGGGTGATCTGGCTCAGTTTATGGTGCAGAACTCTCTCTCCCGGGCTGAGGTAGAAGAGAGAGCAGACGAGCTCTCTTTCCCTCTGTCTGTTGTGGAGTTCTTGCAAGGACACATTGGAATACCACACGGAGGATTCCCTGAGCCCTTCAGGTCAAAGGTGAGATTACACTGTTTAATGGTTTCATGGTTTTCTGTCACTGTCTGAATATTTCCCAGAAAAAATTTAAAAAAAAAACAGAATTTGTTTGTAAAATTTTTATTTGATAAATTAGAATAAAAAAATTCAAGCAACCACTAAAACCAAAGTAATTCAGTTATTTAAAGCTAAATAAAAGAAAACAAACAAATACGATTTCTATCCTTAAAAATTGTAAGTTTAATATTTTGTTCATCGATATAAGGCAAGGCAAGGCAAGGCAAGTTTATTTATATAGCCCATTTGACATGACTACTGAAACTAAGGTCTGTCTCCAGAATCACACCAAGATTCCTGACTTGATTTTTAGTTGTTAGACCCCTAGAGTCAAGGTATGCATTCACCTTGAGAACTTCATCTTTGTTTCCAAATGCAATGACTTCAGTTTTTCCTTGTTTAACTGAAGAAAGTTCTCGCACATCCAACTGTTAATTTCATCAATGCATTGGCAGAGGGAGTCAATGGGGCTGTAGTCATTTGGAGATAAGGCTAGGTAAATCTGGGTATCATCAGCATAGCTGTAATAGGCAATTTTGTTCTTTCTCATTATTTGACTTAGTGGGAGCATATACAGGCTAAACAAGAGCGGTGCAAGAATTGAGCCTTGTGGGACTCCGCATGTCATGGACGTCAAGACTGGGGACATAAAAATGTACTGCATAAATGGGATTGACCCTTCAAATTTTTTGGGTCAAGAATACATGAGTGGGATTCCCAGCATTTCAGACATGCAAACAAGACAATAGCATTCATTAGAACAAGAAGAGCTTTTAAAAACCCATTGAGACTGATGTAAAAAGTGCCACTTTATTTCTCACAGAAATATTACCTGTAGAATTGAGCTTTCTTTATTACATTTAGTCATTTAGCAGATGCTATTATCCAAGACACCTACAAATGAGGAAGAACACACAGTTTTTGTTGTTGCTGTTGAGAGTGACAGTGGCATTGTTTTTGAATAATCTCTAGCCACACATAGAGAGGAAGAGTGTGAGAAAGAAGAGAAAAATTAGAAGGTAAAAGGATGCGATAAAGTGAGAGAAAGATTTAGAGAATAGCTTTGTGTGCATCCATCACAAAGTTTGTGTATATGTGTGAAAGACAGGATAAGAGACAAGAGGTTTAAGGCTGAGTAAAGCTTTCTCAGTAGTGGCTGTGGCGTTTCCGTCTTCTTGTGCTGAAAGTCTTGCTGAGAAAAGAAACCATGCAGAGTCAGACTGATCCACTATAATGCACACACACAAACACACACACACCTACAGTCATGAGGTCACAGGAGAGACCTTTGCTTAATTTTAAATGGCATGGTTACTGAGGACAGACATCCTGCTTGTGCAGTTGAGGGAAAATTTACTTTGATTTACTATTTCTCTACCACACACACACACACAGACAGACAGACAAACCCTTTTGAAGCACTCTGAAGTCCAAAAATGAAAGATTAAACACTGTTTGTCTGCACTGGCAGCATTTCCATGTAAGAGAGCTCAACATGTGGCCTCAGTTTAACACAGAGAGAAAGAGACAACCAGAAAAAGACAGAGTCTGTGACTTAGTAGGACATAAAAAATATATAATAAAGTCTCTATTATGAATTATTTTGTGGCTCTGAATTAAGTCAACTAAACTTTGCAAGTGTGAAATTTGCAGCCTGTTTTAAATTTTCCTCAAACAGAAGAACCATGGGGTCACATGATATCTTAGAGTAGAGACAAAAATATGACTAAATTGTCCACTAGGCAACAAGGATATTTCTGATATTGGCATTATATAAATGTTCCAGTAATTAAAACAAATCCTGTACGTGTACTTCCTGCCTTGTTCAAGTTGCTAAGTAACTGGAAAGTTTGTTGCTAGTCCATGTACAGTAGTTCTTCCAGCTACACAAAAAATAATGGTGTAGAAATAATTTTCACTCCGGATTTGCTAGTAAATTTAATAAATAATATAACATATATA